AGAAATAATAATTAAAATAAAAAAATCTAAAAATAAAAAAGTGCTAAAGTAAAAATTAAAATTAAAAAATATATAAAAAAGTAAAAGATAGTAAGTTAAATAAAAATGTTAAAAACAAAAAACAAAAATATGAAGAAAAGAAAAATAATAATAAAGAAAAATGTAAAACCCTGCCGTCGCCGCCATCTGGTTGCCATTCTCCATTGAGGGGCACATTGAGGAACCCGGCCTTGGGGCAGCAGAGAGAGGAAATCCAGGCCCTGCCTCTAGCCCCCTTATTAACTTTGTTGCCCTTTACTAAACTCTTTCCAAGTCTAGGACATCCCTTTCTAATAATTGGGCACCAAAACTGAGCTGTAAATTCAAGATGATCACTCAAGTTCCTTCATAACTTGTCTTCTGTTGATCTAATATCGTCAACATAAAATAAGATTGATTACCTTCAATACTGCTCTGATACATGGCTGATCATTGCTGATCGGTGCTGTTTTCATTTACGTATTGTCTACAGTACGTCTACATGAACTCCCTTATCAGCCTTTTCCCCATTGGCCCCTCTATCCCTGCCCCTCACCCTCCTGCTGTGCCTTTGTCAGTCTCTCTCACCGCAGATTAGTCCCAGCTGCTGTAGGATCCCAGCCTTGATCCTTCTTAACATTCATTTCATAATAACATAAAAGCTTTTTAACTCTGCCTCCCTGGACTGTCCCGGACCGCTGTGGGTGCAGGTTGCTTGGGAATAACCCATTCACGCCTGGAATGTGCAGGCATGCTATGACCAAGGTGTCCTTGTAGTCATTGCCTCCATTTTGTTGCAGGCCAGAGTGAAGAGAGACAATTTTAGAGGTTCTGTTAACCCCTTCATGACCCGTGATGGGATAATCTCATCATGAAGTCTCAAGGGGTTACACAGACTGTTCCGTTTTGTAGAGTCGGCAACCAGCTTTACAGTAGAAGCAATTCTGGTGGCTCAGCTGCCGCCAGATCGCTTCTATGATCCGGAAACCGTGCCAACCCCCACGCCCGACACCCCCGCCTTTTTCCTGGGCTCCTACTTCCAGTCCCATAGCTGTCATTGCTGGGCTCCTGAAGCCACACTGCTGCGATCTGCACTTTAATAGCTTATTTAGAGTGCTAAGGTGATCCTGGGGGCCCCAAAAGACCCCTAGTATTACCTTTAAGAGTGCCTGTCACTGCCATTATGCTATGACATGGGGGGCTTTTAAGCCCCCCTATGTGATAGCAATTAAAATAAAGTTTTAACAAAAACAGTTTTAAGAATAAGATTAAATAAATTAAATGTAAAAAACAAATAAAAAAAATGTTTTAAGTCCCCCGCCCCTGAGAGCATACGTGTTGTCACGTAAACACGTGTCGGTTGCGCCTCCGTACGCAAGCGATGATTGCACTATACATGTTGGGTATCGCCATGCACACCGGAATGAGAGCAATAATTCTAGGGCCAGTATTTACACGTATCTCTAAAGTGATGACCCGTAGCGGCTTTTGAAGTGTTGTTTATGGACTTTTTGGGGTACTGAATTCTGACGCAGTTTCACGAACGCACACAATTTTTAACCTCAGCATTTTGGGTATCTATTTACTCATCGTAAACTCATCTTTTATATTCTTTATAGTGTTTTGTGGTACTATGTCTAACTTAAATGCATTTTTCACTAAATTTTGGGGTTTGAGAATAGGTTGCGCTAATGTCGTGCAACATAAAAATTTACAGCTGCCGCTCTTTTATTCTATAGAGTCTTGGCTTTCAGAAAATATAAATGTTTGGGAATTTAAAGTAATTTTCAGGCCTAAAATGTGGATTATAACATGGGTGCAAAAATGAAAAAAAGGCCTCGGTTACTAAGGGGTTAAGAGTTTTACCCTAAGTAAAAATGTTGCTTCCTGTTCTCACATTGCAGTGATATTGTGCTTGCAGAGCTGAGTGATAGCCACACCCCTCAGCAAAGTTCCCTTATATGGATTTGTATTGTAGAAGAGGGGAGGTGGCTGGTCTGACCTGGTCTGTTACTGATTGCTGATTTCTGAGGGTACTGAGTCTAATTCTGGTGCCAGTTCAACAGCACACATACACTCACCGGCCACTTTATTAGGTACGCCTGTTCAATTGCGTGGTAACACAAATTGCTAATCAGCCAATCACATGCCAGCAACTCAATGCATTTAGGCATCTAGACGTGGTGAAGACAACTTGCTGAAGTACAAACGAGCATCAGAATGGGGAAGAAAGGAGATTTAAGTGACTTTGAACATGGCATGGTTGTTGGTGCCAGACGGGCTGGTCTGAGTATTTCACAAACTGCTGACCTACTGGGATTTTCACGCACAACCATCTCTCGGGGTTTACAGAGAATGGTCTGAAAAAGAGAAAATATCCAGTGAGCGGCAGTTGTGTGGACTGAAATGCCTTGTTGAGGTCAGAGGAGAATGGACAGACTGGTCCGAGATGATAGAAAGGCAACGGTAACTCAAATAACCACTCCTTACAACCAAGGTATGCAGAATATCATCTCTGAACACACAACACATGGAACCTTGAATCAGATGGGCTACAGCAGCAGAAGACCACACCGGGTGCCACTCCTGTCCGCTAACAACAGGAAACAGTGGCTACAATTCACACAGGCTCACCCAAATTGGACAATAGAAGATTGGAAAAACATTGCTGGTCTGATGAGTCTCGATTTCAGCTGCGACATTCAGATGGTAGGGTCAAAATTTGGCATAAACAACATGAAAGCGTGGATCCATCCTGCCTTGTATCAACGGTTCAGGCTTTGGTGGTGGCGGTGTAATGGTGTGGGGGATATTTTCTTGGCACACTTTGGACCCGGGTTGCTATCATGTCAATATGGACCAACAGCTCTGAGGAATGTCTCCAACACCTTGTTGAATCTATGCCAAGAAGAATGAAGGCAGTGCTGAAGGCAAATGGGGGACCAACCCAGTACCAACAAGGTGTACCTAATAAAGTGGCTGGTGAGTGTATATTTAGACGCCCTGCACACAGGGGCGTATCTGCCGCGAGGCAAACAAGGCGTTTGCCTGGAGCGGCAGATTCGCTGAGGGCGGCGTCCTGTCATCGGGTCTGCTAGATACCGGCTGTTGCTCTGTGTCGTGGTGCTGGCGCTGGGGCGGGAGCGCACTATACAGACGTGGGTGATGCTATCTGCCGAGAATCGGCGGGTCAGTCCGGGGGGGGGTGCTGTATGAGCAGCGGCGGGTCAGTCAGGGGAGGGGGGATTTTCCGAGAAGCTGCGGGGGAGGGGGCGGCGCTGCTGCCTTGCCTAGGGCAGCAGCAAAGTTAAATACGCCGCTGCCTGCACAAGTACGGTTACAAAGTTAAGTAGGACAATTAAAATACAGGTTGTTGATACAAAGCCTTACTGACCGCATGTCTATTTCTGTGATTTCCATTGGGCTTTAATATCACACTAATTAGTGTAGATGCTCTGACCTCTAGCAGTTGTCGAGCTGCATTCATGAAGACACAGCTCAGTAGCAATGTACATAGACCCTTTTAATGAATGTCATCTATAAAGTATAGGAAGATCTTCTTAACTAATCACCTTATCTGCTTCTTACCATTTCCTCAATAGCTGTCAATCCATGAAACAGAGGACCCCAATGAGAACCGTTACTTGCTGGTAATGAAGGGAGCCCCAGAAAGGATACTGGATGTCTGTTCCACCATTGTGATCCAAGGCAAAGAGCAACCATTGGATGATGAGTTGAAAGAGGCTTTCCAGAATGCGTACCTTGAGCTGGGGGGACTTGGCGAGAGGGTATTAGGTGAGCAGACCTATACCATTGGGGATACAGAGAAAAGAGGACCAAGTTACTAAAAGTGTCTGAACTGTCTTTGTTTGCACTGCCAATAGCCTTGGCAACATAATATTATTGAACTAACTGGCTGCCATAGGCAAGGCAGATAATCCTTCTTATAGGTTTCAACCTCAAATACTATGTAACTATGTAACTATATACTGTTGGGGGGCTTCAGGGAAATATCAGGGGTCCAAATAGACCCCTGACATTTCCCTTTTGAAATAGAATAAGAAATTGAGGGCACAGAGTCCAGAGGCTTCACATTTATTCAGAAACTGGTGATAGTAAAATATTTACTATCATCCAGTTATCAATGGGTAGAAGCCTCTGTAGTGAGTGCTCCCACCATTGAGAAACTCATGAGTGAACAGGAAATTATGTAAAGCACTTCCTGTTCATTCATAACTGGGGACACACAGTGCTATGTGTACCCAGTTATTTACAAACACTGGAGTGATCAACTGATCACTCCAGTGTTTGCTCTGCACAAAGAGGATTGGTAAATATCACGGATATTTACCGATCCTCCGCTCTGCCATCTTGAGCGCTGAAGCTAGGGGTGGAGCGCTGTCACTTCAGGATGGCCAAGCGGTGAGGAGAGAGAGAGCCCCCGGCTGTCAGATGGCCATCCTGGATGACAGCTCCCTTCTCCGCCATGGGGCCCTGTGCTCACCATGGCAACTGGGGCAATGGGGCGCAGCCAGGCCGGCCATGGCTGCGCCCCCTCTCAGCTGCACCTGAGGCGAGTGCCTCACTCGTCTCATGGTAGCTACGGCCCTGACTCTTTGCACAGCTTTATGACCAGTAGGTGTTTTGGGGTTTAGATACATTTTAAGGCTTACTCAAGCTCAAGGCTTTCTCAATTACCTTACCAGAGTTAATGGGATATTACAGAAAAAAATGCAGGAGCTATGATGGTCCAGAAGCCTAATCCCCCTTTGGAAACCATGTTCTGAGGTCTCTTCTCATAAACAAAAAATGTATAGTGAACTCTTTGGATTGTTTACATTTACTAGGTCAAGAAAGTGCTATGTACAGAATGCATGTGCTGATATACTGCCGAGGATCCTACAACAAAGGAATAGGGCTCCTAGATGGACCTTGCTCATGAAGACAAGAGTTACCCTTTTCCACATTCCACCAGTGCTCCCCTGATACAATGCTCAGCAATGTGGTGTTGTCTTTTTACTTCCAGGCTTTTGCCACTACTACTTCCCAGAGGAGCTGCACCCAAAGGGCTTTGCTTTTGATACAGAGGACCTTAATTTCAGCACTGAGAACCTGTGCTTTGTGGGGATGATGTCTATGATTGATCCACCCAGAGCAGCAGTGCCCGTAGGGGGAGCATGTGCTTTTGATTGAAGGTATTGGGAGCAAGAAGTCTTTTTTTCTACTTATGGTTGGGGACCTGGAAGTAGCAGTAGAGTTTCCTACCAACCTGATAAGAAACCAGAACATTGTTATTTATACACTCTCAAATGCCAAGTATATCCGTAGGTTGAAGCTTTCCCATTTTTTCCCCCATTTGAACTCCAATCAGAAATAAAAGACAAAAATAAATGCAGCTTTGCATTTAATATTATAGCAATAAAATGATTTTTTCATGCAAGTTTTGCAAAGCACCTGAATTTGACTTGCTATGAACCTGTGCTCAGAGCAACCGAGCAAGGAACCAGTCCATTGTGCTGCAGTACTCATGTGCTAACAATCCTGCATGCTGATGATAGGAGAAAGCAGAGTAATGGAGAATTGGGCTGCTGCTTCTACTTTCCCTGTCCAGTCACAGGTTGGGAGAGGGACAAGCCCTGTAAATGTTACTCAACTGCATCAGGAAAAAATTAGGTCTGTTGCCTTGTGTGCCAGAGCTGTGTAAACCTGAGGAGTTTTGAATATGGGAATATCCCGTGATATATCGGTGTTATGGGAAACAACTACTAAATACGTAGAGGCCTTTAATATTGAGTATGCATTACTCAAATATTGCCTCTTGTTTATTGACTAACTATTTTCTTCAGGTCATCATGGTAACTGGAGACCATCCAATCACAGCAAAGGCAATTGCCAAGGGAGTAGGCATCATCTCAGAGGGTAACGAGACAGTGGAGGACATTGCAGCAAGACTCAACATCCCGGTCTCCCAGGTTAATCCCAGGTATGGCAAAAAGATGCAACCGCCCAAGGTAAAGGAATGATAAACACAAGTCCAACCCTTCAAAGAATATACTTTTACTGTAAGAGGAATGGGATATTTCATAGCAAACCAACACCAGCCATTTGCTAAAGCAGGTTATAATATGTAACCACAAATGGGTCAGCCCACCCAAAAGTCAAATTGGAGTTGTAGGTAGAATCTTGGTGAATCAGCTTCCTAAATGTCTTCGATACTCCAACAGTGAGATCTCGCTGCTATTCCTGGAGATTGTGGGTGTTGCCATCCACCTTTGTGTGTTCCAGCTTCTCCTGTTACATTCTGCATAATATAAGACAGGGGCGCCCACAATTTTTCGTCTGGAGATCTACTTTTCAAATGATGAGCTCAATGAGATCTTCCAACGAAAAAAACACCTGCATTCAGGGGCGGGAGGGGACGTGGCGGTGCATTGAAGTCAATGGCACCGCAGCCATGACCCCGCCCACAGTGCCAATGCCCGCACCCGGAACGCAGGCACATTAGTGTATGTGTTCCGGTCCAGTGCGATCTGCTAAAATTCTACAAGCACTATTTTTGCAGATTGCAAATCCAGGTGTGGGCGATCTGGGGCGGGGGGTGGCTTCGGTGCCATCTTCAATGCACCACCACGCCCCTTCCCGCCGTCCGGCTTGCAGACTGAACTGGCCCTCTCTCTTGGCTGTCTCTTCTCTCCTCGCGCTCTCTCTCCTTGCTCTCTCCCCTGTTTCTATCTGCTGTCTCTTCTCTCTCTCTCTCTGCTGTCTCTTCTCTCACTTTTCTCTGCTGTCTCTCTGCTGTCTGTCTTTTCTTACTTTCACTGCAGCAGCTTCCCAAGTCTCCTCTTGTGCACCGGCGTCCTGTCCTCCCGCGGTGCTCGTGTGGCCGAATGTGGCCGACGTTGCGCACGGGGAGAGGTGTTCCCATCTCCGGCGCCTGACACATTCAGCCGCATGAGCACTGCAGGAGGACAGTACACAGGTCAGTGAGCCGATCGTGATCTACCAGTGTTCGCTTTGTGATCGACCGGTAGATCGCGATTGACCTAATGGGCACCCCTGATATAAGGTAAATAAAAAATCCAGAAGAAAGAGTGGGAACCCCTCATAATGCTCACAGCAGATATGGGAACAGAGATCTTACTAAGAGAGTCCCTGAGAGAGATAAGAAACGGCCAGGTGGTTTAATCTTCCACAATCACCGAATATTAAATTATCACGGGTGTAACTGACCAATGAACACAATTCTGAATTACACAAGTACAACTTTTATTTTCAATCTCACAGTTTCTAACCTTCTGGTTTAGAAAATGACTACTGGGGAAATAAGGAGGTTATATTTGATGCTTGAAGTCCTGCCAAGCAAAGACTTGGCCCTCTTCAATTATCGGCTGAGGACCCCATGGTGATTATTATCAACAATAATAATATTAATAATCTGACTTGTCTATGTTTTATTGGCCACCTTCACAAGTTAATGTTCATGTTCCTAATAGATGGTCGTCTATCACACTTATACATTGATGGTTACTTAGACTGAACCATAGACTTAAAGCGCAACAGAAGCCTTCTTTAGATTTAGATAGAGGGTTATCACATCATGTTGTGGCTATCGGACAGGAATTGAAGGTTTATCTCCCCAATGGAACACAGATGGCAAAATTAAAGTTGACAGGGGTTATAATTATAACCCTCTCATACTCTATCTAAAACTAAAATTAAAGTTTTGGCCTTAGGTCTACTTTTAACCACTTCCAGCGGGTTCAGGTAAATACACGTCATCTGCTGGAAAACCACTTGGACAGTGTGGCGCTGTGCGTGTCGCCCCTTCCGCCGGTGCCAATGGCCCGGACTGGCGTGGCGTGTCTCCCCTAATGGATCGGAGGGAGATAAGCAGGCTACCATCCGCTGATCGCTCCTCTGATCACTGGACCCAGAAGTGATGTACATAACATCACTTCCGGTGTCACTGGGCACATTTTCTGGCTCCTAGAGCCAGAAGAAGAAGCTGGTGAAGCAGATCTCTGCTTCATCAGCTTCTTTGGGGTCCCTAAGTGACATTAGGGGTCTGAAAGACCAGAGGAACTCGAATGGCCTGCACAGAACCCTGCACCTTTGGAATGAATTGGAACACTAATAACAATCCAGGTCTTCTCGTCCAACATCAGTCCCTGACCTCACAGATGCTTCTATGGCTGATAGGCCACACATTCCCACAGAAACCCTACAAATTCTTATAGTAAACCTTCTGTCAAGAGATGCAAAAGGGGGTCAAATTCATATTAATGCCTGGTTTTGGAATAGTATGTCCAACAAGCTTATATACTGTAGGTGTGATGGTCTGGTGTTCAATATTTTTGTTCATATATTACCTACCAACTGTCCCTTATATATACAGTGGTACCTCGGTTCACGAACGCTTCTGTTCACAAACAATTTGGTTCGCGAACAGAAAGTTTGGCAAAATTTTGCTTTCGTTCGTGAACTCCGCTATAGGTGATGAACACAACCGCAGCCAACTTCCCTGCTCTGACACATGGTCATGGCTTCCTCTAGTCGAGATTGCGGTCTGATCACAGTTTGATTCGGTTCGCGACCAGAATTGTGGAATAAATTACGTTCGTGAACTGAGGTACCGCTGTATATCTTATATAAATATATACATATGCAAAGAGCAGTGCCGACCATCTTGATTCTCATGTTTTTTTTTCATTTCTTACTAGGGATGCCAAGGCTTGTGTAATCCATGGCACAGACCTGAAGGACATGGGCTCTGAGCAGATGGATGATATCCTTCAGAACCACACAGAGATCGTATTTGCCCGCACATCCCCTCAACAGAAGCTGATTATCGTGGAAGGATGCCAGCGACAGGTAATCATCGCCCAATGCACTGTTTAGTATAGAAAGTCCTGATGGCAGCATGATAAAAAAAAGTAGTGCAAACTTAACTGCTGAAACCCGGCAACAAAAGTGGTAAGAGACAAACAAAAAAACAAATCCTTTGAGGGATGCTCCTTGTAAACCAGTGGTTCTCAACCTGTGTAACCTCAGGACCCACATTTGACCTTGTTCATTAGGTCACAACCCATGTCGCACTACAATTGAACCCACGGCATTGCGTTCCGCTGTGGGCAATTGAACTTTGGGTGGGAGGTGCATTTTGGGTGTCATTCAAATGAATGGCAACACAATGCACCTCCCGCACCAGATAGTAGGTGCGATAGCATGGTAGAGTGCGTTAGGGCCACAGGACTGTTCGATTATCACACTATACTAGTGTGAACGAGCCCTCAAAAACACTGACAGACACAACCACAGACACAATCTCACACACACACACATACACTCCAAAAAAATGTTTTCTTTTTTTTTTAGGATCCACCCAGTCTCCCTACCTTATGAGAACTGGAGTGGATCCTTAGCCTGGGGTCCAGTGTGGGCTGCTGTACTGTGGCAGATCTCCATCCATATATGCATTGCTTGTACAGCTCCCTTGCGCACCCTGTAGAGGTGCCGGGAGGCAGAATGTGACGTCACTCCAGTCCAGGCACCTTTACAGGACATACAAGGGAGCTGTAAGCAATGCACATATGGATGGCCATAGCTTCAGCCCACCCCACCTCAAACTGACACTTGGCACGGGCAGCATATTTTGAATGGCGGCTTGGCGCGAGAACTGACAGTGCTGCACTAGAAGGAGGCTAAGAAGCCTCTCACCTAGAAACGTGGAAGGCACGTGGCGACCCACTGGACATGAGGTCATGACCCACCAGTTGAGAACTAAGGTTGTAAACATTCCCTGTGTTGTGAAAAAAGAATTACATCAGAGATGGAGAAGGGGGTGGTATCAGCCATATCTGCAGCAGATACATATTCACCATGGCTTACAATTGGACATACTCTACAAAATTGTTCTTGGCTGTGAAACTTGCTGGGGATCCACTTTACCTGGCTAATGTGGCTTGGATTATATTTATAATTCTTATGAAACAGCATGCTGTTTTTTGACCATATATGACCAGTGCAATTTAAAGTAACATTCCATTTTTGTAGTTAGTTGTAGCAAATTGTTACTTTTTATCTGTAAAAATTGATGTAGGGTCTGCCAATGCCCATTCAAAAACTGACTGCTATGTGGGAGAGCATGCTTTTACTATCATCACATTATCTTGATACAACCACTTAAGTGCCACCATCCCTTTACATTTATTAGGCAGTTTGAAAGTATCACACTAAAGACTAAACTCCTCTTGTTGGGGATTTTTATAATGTGATCACAGCATTTGGGAAAAGCGGTGAGCCAATTCCTTGAGTGGGAGGAAAGGAAGTCCTGTAATCCCTTTCATTGACATCCTAATGTTCTTTTGTTTTTAGGGTGCTATTGTGGCCGTGACTGGTGATGGTGTGAATGACTCCCCTGCCCTGAAGAAGGCCGACATTGGGGTGGCCATGGGCATCGCTGGCTCTGATGTCTCCAAACAGGCTGCTGACATGATTCTTCTGGATGATAACTTTGCTTCAATTGTCACTGGTGTCGAGGAGGGTGAGGGACCAATTTTTTATATTTGGGCTACACTCTGTATAGCTTGGCTCTTGCACGTATGTAGACTGACAATTTTGTAACACTGTCCACTTACTAACAGGTCGCCTTATCTTTGACAACCTGAAGAAGTCAATTGCCTACACCCTGACCAGTAACATCCCAGAGATCACCCCCTTCCTGCTCTTCATTATGGCCAACATCCCCCTGCCTCTGGGCACCATCACCATCCTGTGCATTGATCTGGGCACTGACATGGTGAGTAATCCATGGGGGATCATTGATGAAGGTGGAAGTAAAGAACATTTGGTACATGAGAGCAAGCAATGAGGTTCCAGGACAGGCTAGCCAATGAAAGCACCTGGATGGCTACCGTGGACAAGCCATACAGAGATCCAGTGTGCAAACTATAAACAACCCGACAAGGCAAAGGAGAAGAGGGATGTGGGGAATATCTATTCTGCATAAAGGAAACCTGTCATGAGAGAAAAATGAAAATGCTCATTGTCTTGCTGCAATTCTGAGGCTTCAGTGCTGTGAGTTAATACTGACCCAAAACAAGTATGACGGTAAAGACTTTTCACCAGCTCTCCTGACTTGCATATTAGTTCCAGGTCAGTGACTCACAAAGTATAAAGGGCAAAAGGCAACTAAGATTTTCAGAAGGACGTCCTCAATGGATTCCCACCTATTTTGCACAAATGCACTTTAAAGTGTATCTATACTTAAAGTAAATCTGTTAGAACTATACTGTTACAGGACAGGTTACACTTACTTTTAGATTACCCTACAGCTCCCAGTGTGCCCTGAATCTTAGGAAGCTGTAAGCTAATATTTTCAACACCTGATAGAGAGCTGGGCTGTCCCCTCCTACCTCCAACATGTTCCTATTGACCAGTAAGGCTGTACATCATAGTGATGGGTCAATTGGAACATGTAGGAATGGCAGGTGAGCTTTAAACACCACCAGAAAGTATTGAAACTGATATGTAACATGTGGCTGAATTTAGGGCTCTAGGGGAGTCATCTCAAGGTACAAGGTGACTTCGGTGTACTTTGGTTACACAGGGCTGCGCTCCAGGCTGGAGCGCAACCCGGCGGACACCTTACACTGCCCCAGCCTGTTCACTATTATGGTTCGGAGGTGCTTTCTTTAAAAATAGTGTGAATTATTTCAACAATTCAGCTGCATTGAATAAGAAGAGGGGAACTAAGAGATTTTAAAAAATACCTTTTATGTAAAGAGAATCCTGAAATACATCTTGCAGCTAGTCACATGACCAGTGCTCAGGCATTGGTCACTTCAGTTAATGTTTGGACAGAGCTCAACATTGGCTAGATATGTTTCACTGTCAGTTCCCCAAAAGCCTTTTGGCAGAGGTCATGTGACCAGTGCCTAGGGCAGATCCCTGTGCAACAATTTCCCTTTCTTTGCAGAAAAGGGAACAGTCCCTTCACCCTAAATGTGTAAAGAGAAAAGAGTTGGAGTGAGTCTACAACTGCATTGAGGATGGCCAGATCTGAGATTGAGGATGTCTGTGAAGGTTCTCATTCATCCAGGTCATGGTAAATCTGTAAAAAATAAGTCAAGGTTGGATGACCAGTGAAACGTCTTCAAGAAAAATACAGCAGGTCCAGTTTCCTTGACTTATTTTTTACAGATATACCATGACCTGGATGAATGACAACCTTCACAGACATATTGCGACACATTTTGGGGAGAAAACCCTCCTAGCTACAATTATGCAAATACAATCAACATCTGGTTGCGACTAACAGATTATGTGGATTGGAGCAACAGTCACCATATTTATTCCCACATAATTTTTGTACAAGTCATTCTGAATTGAGAAAGCTGGTTGGATGACCGGTGAAATGTCTTCAAGAAAAATACAGCAAGTCCACTTGCCTTGACTTATTTTTTACAGATATGAGATTGAGGATGGACAAAACTGTCACTTTCATTATGATAAATGTGCCCATTCATGCAGACAAATTGTCACAAGAAGCCAAAAAATCCAAAAAATGTATGTGACAATGCATAGAGAAAAACTGATCCCTATAGCAAATGTTACTGGTAATAAAGGAGACCTAAGTCAGCACCATACACAGCTCTCCATGCGGAGTTCTCCTGACAAACACTGATAGAGATGCTTGGCCATGATGGTCTGACCATTCCTTTTGGTCTATTCTAAAGCATTTTATACGGTCAAATTGATGGTCTTATGAATTGCACTCAATATGATGAGTCTTACATGAACTCCTTCTCCAGGTTCCTGCTATTTCCCTGGCTTATGAAGCAGCTGAGAGTGACATTATGAAGAGACAGCCAAGAAACCCCCGTACAGACAAATTGGTGAACGAAAGATTGATCAGTATGGCATACGGGCAGATTGGTGAGGCTTCAACACAGATGGTAGCTAAAATGTATATCTTCTAAGATGTATCTCTCTGTATTCCATCTATAACTCTATGTCTCCGGCGCTATAGGCATGATCCAGGCTCTCGGCGGCTTTTTCGCTTACTTTGTCATTCTGGCAGAAAATGGTTTCTTGCCATCTCACTTGGTGGGCATTCGGTTAAACTGGGATGACAGGACATGTAATGACTTGGAAGACAGCTATGGCCAGCAGTGGGTGAGTTGTGAGCTCTTTCATACGATAGTTTGGGCTAGGGATGCACCGATACCGTTTTTTTCAGTTACGAGTACCGATATTTTTTTTGCGGTACTCGCCGATACAGAATACCGATACCGGAAGTCCCATTAAGGCAGCCAGGTAGCGTGTGATGACTCGGTTCCTGGCTTCCTGATTAGTCGGGAAGCCAGGGGGAGTGTAAAGACTCGCCATCCGGCTTCCCAATTAGCAGGGAAGCCGTCCCCATGCTTCTCGTCACTAGGTCACCAGAAAGCATGGAGCCGGCTTTCTGGCCAATCAGGAAGCCGGGCTCCGTGTAATAACACAGTGCCCGGCTTCCTGATTGGCCGGGAAGCCGGCTCCATGCTCCCTTGCCACCTCATGACGAGGGGGCATGAAGCCGGCTTCCCAGCCAATCAGCAAGCTGGGCACGGCGTCATTACACAGTGCCCGGCTTCCTGATTGGCCAGCTTCCCAACCAATCAGGAAGCGGGGGAGCTGATCATTACACACTGCCCGGCTTCCTAATTGGCCGGGAAGCTGGCTCCATGCTCCCTCGTTACTGGAGTATGGAGCCGGCTTCCCGGTCAAACAGGAAGCCGGGCAGCGTGTAATTACTCGCTGCCCGGCTTGCTGATACTGGAAGTATCGGGCTAGGCAGCGGAGCATTTGGGCGAGTACGAGTACTCACCCAAATACTCGCCACCGATATCGATACTAGTATCGGTGCATCCCTAGTTTGGGCACTCAAAAATCCTGAAGGTGAAGGCTAACTAAAACTATTCTATAGCTTCTAGTGGAAGATCTTTTTGGATCTATATCTATAAGCAAGGACCTCTGCCTTGATGAGGGGACCCAGCATGGTCCCAAAACACCTGTTTGTAACTTTTATGCAATCATTGTAGACCTTTTGTAGGTAAATACGCACTTAGCTGCCTATAGGCCACCAGTATCTGAAGCACACAACCTTGGCAGAACTGTTGGTGGGAAACTCCATGATTGGACTAGACTATAGTAAATCAGTAGATTCATTGGCCTATCAAGACCATCTTATGGCAATATATAATGCTGATCTGTATTTTTAGACTTTCTATAGTCTGTAAATACACAGGATTACAGCAGTTTAGGGGAATTAACTGTGAAACTGTAATGGTTTTTGGTCATTTTTTTTCTGTAAAGATATTAAAAGCTTATAAACTTTATATATATAAAGATTGTATATACTTTTTTTAATTTATCATTTATATTTTTAATAATAAACATGTATTGCAGGGTGCATCTATGACATTCAATGGCAAAAGGATGCTGGGCTTTCTAATAATAAAGTCCAGCACTGCTTATATGCATGTTGATTTTCATGGGCAAATTGTGCTTCTTTGCATGGATTGGGACATTAGCAGTCGAACTGACAGTACCGATCCTGGTCCTGGTGGGAGTTTGTACAGCTGGTGTGTCTTGTAGGATCTACTATTTTATTATTATTATTATTCAGGATTTACATAGGTGTATATAGCACCAACAGTTTGTGCAGCGCTTTACAATATAAGGAAGGCATTACAATACAATTCAAGACAAGATGGTAAGGAGGGCCCTGCCCGTGAGGGCTTACAATCTAAGAGGGAGGGGCCAGTGATACATGAGGAGGTAGCTGCGCGGGGATGAATTGTTTGAGAATGTGATAGTTCAGTGGTTAGGTTGAGGTTGGATGTGAGCTTTACTGAGATCCCACAGGGCATACCTAATACATCCGTGGCTCGCAAGTCATTTTTATTTCATCATTCTGAACATAACTGGTAAAGAACATATATACAAATAATAAAAGTCATTGAAAAAATACACGTTACAAGCCCTCTAGGGAACAACTCTATTATATTGTCTTAAATGATCCCTTCTCTGTTTGTGCTTTAGACATATGAGCAGCGCAAGATTGTGGAATTCACTTGTCACACGGCCTTCTTCGTCAGCATTGTGGTTGTACAGTGGGCTGATGTCATCATCTGTAAGACCAGGAGAAACTCAGTATTCCAGCAGGGCATGAAGTAAGACAACACACACGAACACTTCCCACTCTCTGTCCAATGAGATTCCAGTTTTGTTGAGAAAAACCGTCTTGTAGATATTGGGACATGGCTTTCTAGTGGACTTGCAGGGTTGGCCTTTTTTGGCCCACATTTTCAGTTCTAATGTTGTAGTAAGAAACATTTAATACCCCGTATCCCTTTCGATGAGCAGCATTTTTCCCTAATATCTACCCAGAGATTGAAATTCAAGTGCAGGAATGTTGGGGTGACTTTAATTTGACAGTGAACCAGTAACAAGAGCAGGAAGTTAAGGACTTTGGGTAGGTCTATACTATATATAGTGTTTTTGCCATGGTCTGGGCCATCACTTTAATGAAGCAGACTAAGGTGGATGCCCTCAGATGGCATCTTATTGGGGCACCTGCTGCCCCCTTTCTGACCAGAGCATCCTAGGTTGCCAGGAACTCCTAGCAACCTGTGATGCTCTCACCAGCACCCCACCCAACTCCTGTCAATCAGGGACATAACTGGTTGGCAGGAGCTGAGTGGGACATTCTAGTTGGTGTCCTGCCCAGCTCCTGGCAGCCAGGAATGTCAGTTAGCTGGGCAGGACACCAGACACTGAACCCCCCTCCATAATGTTCCCCGCTAGCAACCCCGTCTCGTAACTTGCACCGTTAGCCACCTCCACCGTGCACCGACGGCACGCCCTCCTCCATTCCCCCCACCTCAGGTGCCGAACAGTCTAGGGACAACCCTATCCATAGGTACAGCACCCCCTCTCCCATTCCGCCCCACCTCAGGCGCCAAAAAGTCAAGGGACACCCATGGTCATGGTTACACCACTCCATTCCCTCCACCTCAGGTGCAGAATAGTCTAGGGACACCCCTGGCCATGGTAACAGCACTCCATTCCCCCTGCCTCAGGCGCCGAATAGTCAGGGGACACCCTTGGCCATGGTTACATAGAAGAGATGTTAGAAGTTTTTATTGGACAGATTTACAAAAACACAAGTAGCTGTAGAATAAAAATCAAAAGGGTTGTGTAGCAAAGTTAATAGATTCTCCCATCTTGATAACGCTGTACTTTTTCATCGTTTGCATTGCAGGAATAAAATCCTCATTTTCGGTCTTTTTGAAGAAACAGCGTTAGCAGCTTTCTTGTCGTATTGCCCTGGAATGGACATTGCACTGAGAATGTATCCACTAAAGTAAGTCGGTAGTTTTGACTGTTTTGACTTTTGACAATACAGGAAACCTCCCGCCATGGGATAAATATGCGGGCTTCCATTGCTTGCTTTCTTGAAAATGTTAGTTGCCTGTCTTGCCCAAGCCTCCAATGCTCCCAGGAGGCATGGGTGATGTTACTGAACTTCCCTGCAGAGCTCGGAGCTCAAAATCCCACCACAATTGACTTCAGCCAATTGCGACGGTGCATTGTCATGGGCTTGCCGGTCTGCCAGGAGGCATGGGGACATCACCTGTGTCTCCCAAATACATTGTAGGCCAGGGTTGAGGTATTTATTTGGGAAAAGGTTTGTTTATAAAGCCACTCATGTTGGGAGGGTAAGGGGGCTCGCAAAAAAAGTGGGCTTTCCATGTTCCATGAAAGATCCACTTTCAGAATAACCAACCTTACACCATGTCCACCAACCACTGAGGCACCATGACGCCTGTTGTATGGTACATTTTCTTCAGCCCTCAGAAAGCAGTCCCTATCATAAAAGGGCCACTTGGTTGTGGTTTCCTCCCAGGCTAAAGGCTTCCAGTACTCCCTTGCAGCGAGGCAGTATATTATTGCACTGTACAAGTTATTTCTCTGTATCTGTGCACCAACTGTGTACGTGAACCTGAAATGACTGTACTTTAGGACATGGACATCAAATTATTATTATTACACAGGATTTATATAGTGCCAACAGTTTGCACAGCGCTTTACAATATGGGGCAGACATTACAATCACAATAAAATTCAAGACAAGATGGTAAGGAGGGCCCTGCCCCTGAGGGCTTACAATCTAATAGGGAGCGGAAAGTGATACAGGAGGAGGGAGCTGTGTGGGGATGAGTTGTTTGAGAACGTGATGGATGAGCGATTAGGTTGAGGTGGGATAGGCTTCCCTGAAGAGATGAGTCTTTAGGGAATGCCTAAAGGCAGTCAAGGTGGGCGACAGACGGACAGGTTGGGGTAAAGAATTCCAGAGGATGGGAGAGACTCTAGAGAAGTCCTGGAGGCGAGCATGGGAGGAGTTGACAAGGGAGCTGGAGAGCAGGGAGCTGGAAATTGAAGTGAACCCATCACGCCAACTATTGAAGCTGCCATTAATGACCTTCTTCAGTGCTAGTTGACCCACTTTTATTTTGATGCATTGACTTTAATACTTTTTGAGACTCTGATTTGGAGCAAGTATACCGATCAGGAAAGTTAGAGGAAAGTCAGAAGTCCTCATTCACACACTTTCACGTGCCTGGAAGCATCAAAGAGAGGGTTCAGCATTGACGGCCAAGCACCTAGTATTTTAAGCCAGATGAGCATTGGCAGCATCCGTGTTTCTCTTATGACAAGACTTCTTTCATTGCTGATTGTGCCATTTGTAAATGTTTAGGCATTTTCCCTGCGTTCTACAATGAAGTCAGACAGAAATGTACAATCAATATTTCATCAAATGCCAGTTTATGGCCTCCAGGCCTCTCACCCGACATGTACTGAACCGTGCATGCTGGGTATTAAAGGGAACGTAGGCCGAGAGTAATGTGTAGGGTGCCATTGCTGATCTCCTTCTAAAAATGCTACATGCCATGGAGATTTAATCAAGTCAATGGCCAAGGATAACTGTGCCTATGAACAGTAGGTTCTAGTGATTGAGAAAGTACTAGAACTAAGGACAGCCAGGTAACTAGCTTTTCCAGATAGGGTCAGCAATGCCCACTTTAAAAAAAAAAGGTCCTTATGGTCAGAAAACCGTCTATATAGAAAGTGATCAATATTATTTGACCTTTTTTTCTAGCCCAGTGTACAGCAAATGGAGGTGTTACAGAGGTGACTAACTGCTGGCATAATGTCTCAGGGGAACACCTAGGCCCTGTCTCACAAAGCTACAATGGGGTTTTAGTCATGTAGTTTAAAGAAAACTACAGGAGGGGCAGAGACAAGACCAGTCACCCTGCATAAAGAGGAGAGAGCAGCAGTGACCGGTCTTTATTACAGGAGAGGGTGGAGACAAGACCAGTCACCCTGCACAAGGAGAGAGAGAGCAGCAGTGAGTGGTCGTTATTACAGGAGGGGGTGGAGACAAGACCAGTCACCCTGCACAAGAAAAGAGAGCAGAAGTGAGCGGTCGTTATTACAGGAGGGGGCGGAGACAAGACCAGTCACCCTGCACAAGGAGAGAGAGCAGCAGTGACTGGTCTTTATTACAGGAAGCTCCAAGTCTCACACTGGATTACTGCACATATCTAGAAGAAATGCACAAAGCTCATCAAGATTCAAGAATACACATGACTCTTGTATTAAGATAGTATTGGTATGGCAAGGTTCAGCATTACATAGCTTAGGGTGCTTAAAATACTATTGGCAGTTTGATGAATCATGGCCATTGCCTGTCAACAGCATCTACAATATCATTGTGGATATACACATATGGGCTGTACGGAGAGGAAGTGATAGGAAATCTCCCCGGTGACAACACAGACCGTAGCAAAACTCTTTTTAAGTAAAATGGTGAAAGATTATAGACTCTTCCAGGATTGTATTCCTGTCTGTATCTTCCTGCCCTAATGACAACCCTTGCTCCAATTTCTTGTCCTGCTGTCACAAGGAGGTTATATCTTCTCAATGGAAAGCTATAAAAGCTTGACAGAAGTATTCACTCTTCCCACGTCTATCCAGAGCAAAAATCGATGTGACTGCAGTTCATATTTGTTGTAGAATAATATAATAAATGCCTTCAAGGTAGAATAAGTATATGATTGAGATGAGATTGGTTGTACTAAGCTGCCTTCTGTTTCTTCATCCAGGCCTAGCTGGTGGTTCTGTGCCTTCCCATACAGCTTCCTCATCTTTATATATGATGAGATCCGGAAACTTATCCTTAGGCGACACCCAGGAGGTAAGTCAGTGTGGCACGTGAGCCAAGCTGTGCGTTTGCATTGTATACATAGCTTGACACTCATGGCAGCCAATCCTGTTATCAATATGGCAATTTTAAGAAGACCTTTTGTCAAACTTAGAATGCTTGTTTCCCCTCCTGCCCTTTCTTCTTTCTTAAGCCCGACCTAATATACTACTTACATATGTGCCTGATCTGTCCTGATATCAGCCACTCTTAATTCTTGGCCCACAAGCACTCTCAGTCAATTAGGCCCTATTACTTAGCATAGTTCTTGTCAGTCTAACACTGAACATGCTTACAGGAGGAGAGAACACAGATGTGGCCCCATCCATATGCTGCTATACCTTATAGCAGGCTTGAAAGTAAAAAACAAATGATCAGCAATTCGCCAGCTATTATTATTACTTTCATAGTTATCCATCCAATGGATGACTTCCATTACCATGATGTTAGGGGTGAAGGGTATTGGGCAGTTTATATAGTACATGGTTGCAGCTCTATGTATGGAAGAGCATGGCAAAAAGTATGTGGGCATCCCTCCAAATTGTTGAGTTCAGGTGTTTCCAGTGAATAGTACTGGTAACGCTATAGCACATAAAGGCATTTAAGACGATTGTGCACTGTCAACCTTGTGGTAACTTTTTGGGGAAGGTCCTTTTCTGTTCCAGCATGACTGTGCCCCTGTGTGCAAAACGAGCTTCATAAAGATCTGGTTTGAAGAGTTTGGTGTGTAGGAATTCAAATTGCCTTTACAAAGCCCTGACCTCAACTCTATTAACCCCCATTGGGATGAATTGGAATAGGCATGGCAAACCAGGTCTTCTCATCCAACATTAGTACCTGAACTCACAAATGGCTTAATGGGCACAGAGTCCCCCAGACACCCTCCAAAATCTTGTGGAAAGCCTTTCCAGAAGAATGGAGGCTGTAACAGAATGGAAGGCCGACTGTTAATACTAGGGATGCACAGATACCGATACTAGTATTGGTGCCGATACCGAGTATTTGGGTGAGTACTCGTACTTGCCCAAATGCTCCGATACCTTCCCCGATACCGGAACTTCCAGTAAGAGGAAGATTTTTTTTCTGCCTGGAAGTGCCGTAGGGGGAACATGGAGCCGGCTTCCCGGGCAATCAGGAAGCTGGATGGCGAGTAATGACCCGCCTCCCGGCTTCCCGATTGGCTGGAAAGCTTCCCAGCCACCCAGCTGTTCGGCCGGCCTGATGCTAATTAACTAGGAAGCTGGTTTCCCAGCCAATCAGCATGTAGCCGTTTTGCCAGCCAATCAGCAAGAAGCCGGCTTCCCGGCCAATCAGGAAGCTGGGAGGCGGGTCATTACTCACCGCCCGACTTCCTGGGAAGCCGGCTTCCCAGTTAATCAGCATCGGGCTGGCCGAACAGCTGCTTGGCTGGGAAGCTGGCTTTTCAGCCAATCAGAATGGAGCCGGCTTCCCAGCCAATCAGGAAACTGGGAGGCGGGTCATTACGCACCGCCCGGCTTCCTGATTGCCCAGGAAGCCGGCTCGATGCTGATTGGCTGGGAAGCTGGTTTCCCGGCCAGTCACAATCGAGCCGGCCAAAGAACATGGAGGCGGCTTCCCGGGCCATCAAGAAGCCGGGCGGCATGACATTACCCGTTGTCCGGCTGCCTGATTGCCCGGGAAGCCAGCTCCATGCCAACGGAAGCACTGGTATCGGTGAGTACCAAAAGCAAAATATCTTTACTCATACTCGATACCGAAAAACTGGTATCAGTGCGTCCCTAGTTAATACCCATGGTTTTGGAATAGGATGTCCAACAAGCTTATATAGGTGCGATGGTCAGGTGTCCACAAACGTTTGGCCATAAAGTGTAAATATAGGGCATAGAACTGTTCCAGGATTCCAAGGCAGGCATGCACATGAATAAATACCTTGGAATTTGGTCATGTGGAAGGAATCTCTCTCTGCCTGCTAAATTTACTGATTTAATAATCATTTTTCTTTTCTCTTACAGGTTGGGTAGAAAAAGAATCTTATTATTAAATTCGCAGACGCATCTCCCAGACCTGGACCCTCTCCAACCTCCGAATCCCCCTCCCCTTTGAATCAAACAAAACAAAACGAAGAAAAAAAAAACACACAACAAAAACATAATTAAACAAAAAACAAAAAACAAACCCCAAAATAAAAACGGCAACAAAATCTATAACGTTTTATTATAAAGGAGGGGGAGAGAGAGGATTGTAACAGAGAAGGTGATCGAGTGGAGGGTCTAAAACATTTTTGGATGGAGATTAATATGGATTTTAAGCTCTTCACTCTTGGGAAATCTGGTATTGGGGTGCCAGGACAAAGAATGGGAAGGAAAAGTGGAGAAAATAATTGAATTAAGGGGGGAGGGATGTACAAACTCTCTTCCTAACAACCTCTATGCTGCCAAAGGCTTCTGAACACACCGCTCTACGTACATATACCAATAATGTGCTGCTTTATCAGCTATAGGGTTAATCCGGGGATTTGCGAGGGCACCGGTACTGTGGTCACATGACACCTCATGAACAATGTCTGGTGTACAGCGTAGGGTCTTTACGGGGGCATTATTAGGGCCCTTAGACTTCTAGCGAGACCCGAAGAGTCTCATATCGAAGTCTCATCTGTGTAATAAATACCCCCTTCACCCAACCACCCCACTTAATATTCCTCCATATCTGATGTACTCGGTCTTTATGGGCGTGAAAGGTACATGTATTTTGTCTCTGTTATTAGGAGGGGGTGAGAGCTAAATGTCCTGATGTCTGTGTATTAGAAGGGGGTGATAGGTACCTTTGTCCTGATGTCTGTGTATTAGAAGGGGGTGATAGGTACCTTTGTCCTGATGTCTGTGTATTAGAAGGGAGTGGCGAATGTATGTCTCGACGTGATCACAGGCTAGAGGTACAGATCTACGTATGTTAGAGAAACGTAGAGAGGGCCGGGGGTCTGTTTGAAAGGGTGAAGTGGTCAGGCCTAGAACTACATGTTGGGCAATAGCTTTGATCGCTACAAAAGGAGTAGGAAGCAGAGACGGAGAAGAGGCGCATGAACATAGACTGAGACTGGTGTCAACAGGCAGTAGGTAGGAAACGTGGGTACATGGCAGGAGAACAAAGCGGGAATGGTAGGGCTGGTTCACACATATGTCTGCAGTCCCATCCTATCTTTTGCCTTGAGTATATAAAACAGCTAAACAAAATTGGTGGACAAATGCATAGAGGAGCAAGATAGCACATTGACTGCTGTTCTCTTCTCAACATTCTGTCTTCACTAAGCCTTCATTGAAATGTGGTGGGATAGACGGGTTGCAGACACACGTGTACACTTTGCCTTTGCTCGGAAGCTGGTGTTGGACTAGAAGTTGTGTGGTCACTGGTGATTGGTGGAAGGGGGAAGAAATCACAGAGCTAACGGATACCTTTATGCCGAAATGGTGGAAGGGGCATTAGCTGAGAGCCAGCAAGCAATAAAAGGAGGGCACAGATTGGGCGATACGAAACGGGAGAGGTGTGTGGGTGGACCAGAGCTGGTTGTTGATAGGTCGAAGAGTGACCCTGGTACCTCTTACTAGGTGGAGGGGGTTGAGTGCAGTTTGTGTCTGTTATGTGTCTCCACCCCCCTCTTGCATTAGTTTTTGTCAGGTTGTCAGACTTTTTTTATCTTGTGTTTTCCTGCCATTTTCTGTGATTTACAAAAATAAATAATAATAAAAAAATACCCCAAAAAACTGAAAACTGTCTGATTTCTGGTGTTGGGTGAACGAAAGTTACGGGTCCAAAAAATATATTTATGATCATCTCCTACATCCTTCTCATCGGGGGATGACCATTGGCCATAGCTTATTGCAAAAACCTTGACCTATGCTTACTCCAAAAAATAATAATAAACCGTTGTGCAACCATGTGTGTCTACTGGTACAAAACACCACAAATCTAAATGCTTAAGTCTGGCCTGACTAATAGGGTATCCCTAGGGCCACCAGTACAAATCATGGGACCCAGTGCAGTGTACCTGATAAGGGCCCTGTAGGCACATGTATGGCCTACTCAAGAGCCCCCCCCCCCATACAGGAATACTATCTGAAGCCTCCTATCCGGCGGCCCTGCCTGCCACTCCACCAACACCCTCACCCTGCTGCTCTAGGCCCTGGCTTATCAAGGTTTTTAGAGCTGGGGTAAGTTTTCTGAAAAGTGTCCAAAATGACATTGAAAGTGTGAGTCTCTTGGCCTGGCATAGCAACCTTATAGGAAACTGGAATAAGGTATGCATTGATGGCACATGAGTCCTAACAGTCAGCCCCAAAGTTGTGTATGGAACTCAGAGGAGGAGGGCCAGGGGAGGAGGGGACAAGGGCCAGGGGAGGAGGGGACAAGGGCTGCGGACAAGAGGAGGAGGGGACGAGGGCTGCGGGCCAGAGGAGAAGGGGACGAGGGCTGCGGACAAGAGGAGGAGGGGACGAGGGCCGCGGACAAGAGGAGGAGGGGACGAGGGCTGCGGACAAGAGGAGGAGGGGACGAGGGCTGCGGGCCAGAGGAGGAGGGGACGAGGGCTGCGGACCAGAGGAGAAGGGGACGAAGACTGCGGACCAGGAGGAGAAGAGGACGAGGGCTGCGGACCAGAGGAGGAGGGGACGAGGGCTGTGGACCAGAGGAGGAGGGGACGAGGGCTGTGGACCAGAGGAGATGGGGACGAAGGCAGTGGACTGGGGCTGGGTTGCATTGTTCTCCACTTGCTCAGCTACCCTGCTTGCATGCCCAGAGCCCTCTTAGCCGGCCTCCCTCTACCTCTCTCCTCTGAATGCCCGTGATAGGGAGCTTCCACCTGGATGGCACCTCCACAGTGTGCACAGCCTGTAAGTATGCAGGAGAGAGAGAGGGAAGGACTAGAGGATGCCACGGTATGTGTAGGGAGTAGATTAGATATTCCTCTGGAGCACGGACAGGTGGGCCTTTCCTGCTGACTCGATAGGGCCTGGGCCCGGTACAGGAAGTCAGGCTTTATTCCCCTATCGAAGGCCCTGGGTACTCCAGTCTGAACACGCAAAAAAAGTTTCACTAATACAAAATGTCTTTACTGTGTCCTTCAATGAATGGAAGGGAAAATTGATTTTTGTACTTGCTGTAAAATCCTTTTCAATGTGACCATTGAAGTACACAGCGAAGATCTGGAGCTCTTGACCGCTGGTTTATACTGCCAACTGCAGAAGCAGGAGACTAGGCAAATAACGGTAGTCAAGATCTTCACTATGTCCTTCAATGAATGAAAGAAAAAAGTTTTGTTTTTTCTTTGTACTCACTGTAAAATCCTTTTCTTTGCTTTTATTAAAAGAACACTGCGATAACCTGTAGATCATGACCACTGTTTGTCTAGTGTCCTACTCCTGCACGTGGCGGTACAACCCAGTGCTCAAGATCTAAAGATCTCCACTGTCCCTCAATGAACAGTAGAGAAATATGTTACCCTTCTTCAGGCACTGTCTCCTCATCCAGGTCTCATACACGTACCCTTTGGTCCCTCACATCATCAACCCCAAACTCTGCTTGGATACATAGTCCACCTGTACCATAGAATGTCCAACAATGACTTACTGGAACCTCAACATAACCCTACAGTCTCTGAATTCCGGCGTCCCTCGACAGACGAGAAATAAGTGGAGTTTTCTATATGTGAAAGACAGCAAAAAGCATGCAGTGGGCATGTTTGGGGAACACTTCTGCAAATGGGTTATATATATATAAAAAAAAAAAAAAAGTGTTACGTCACCAGAATAAATAAAAGGCAGGGGACTGGATTGGGGCACAACAGAGATGACAGGATGTGCCTCCTGTATGCATTTCTCAATGTTTAAAAGGAGAACTATGGGGTCAGGGCTTTTCCCCATAGTTCTCCTTAGGGTAACGGGAGGACACAAACTAGCGTCCTCCCGTTACCCTAAGCTCAGTATACTGCGAGCTACAGCTCGCGGTATACTGAGACGCCGCAGCGGATCCCGACATCGATGTCTGGATCCGCCCAGCTGCCTGAGTGACAGCTGGCTCTGCCTATCTAGAGGCAGAGCCAGCTGTACCCGCCCCCTCCGCCAGTCAGCGTTGGCGGATCGAAGCGGGGAGAGGGGAATCCAGCCCCTCCCCTGTGACGGCAGAGAGGATCGAGAGGTGAGCGAACCCGGTATGTGTCGGGTTGTGACAGTCTCATTGTCACAGGTCGGCTAGAACTATGAGGTGAGTGAAAAGCACTCACCTCATAGTTCTCCTTTAATCTTCAGTTTTAAATGGAAAATTTTGTGTGCGTTCTGCTAGTAAAAAAAAAATGAGGACCAACAACCAAACTATCCATTTAAATTAAAGTTTATTATGTATTATAAAAGGATACATGTAACAAAAGAAAGGCTCCGGCAACCTCATGAGCAAAGCTACCACGTGGCAGGATCCTGTTCTGATGACCAAATTCCATTGTCCTGTAGGTGAACCTGTACTTCAAAGTTTACAATTCGGCCTCAGGGCAGACACCACAAGATGCCTGCTCTCACCTCGATAAGCCAGAGAAACATCTTCCTTGTACCTCTCTGATATAGCTTCAGTTTTACTGGGGCCTGCCTTTCTCCGACTTCATGACTAGTCTAATATCCAACAAGACATTGA